GAGAAATATTTGCCAACTATATATCCCAAAAAGGATTAATATCCAGACTATATGGAACCCAAGCAACTCAATAGCAAAAAAAAAAAAAAAAAGAGAGAGAGAGAGAGAAGGAAAGAAAGAAAGAAAGAAAGAAAGAAAGAAAGAAAGAAAGAAAGAAAGAAAGAAAAACAGAACCTTAACAATGGGCAAAAATCATGGATAGACATTTCTCAAGAAAGACAGGCAAATTGATGATTTCCTACCAATCTATCCATAACTCTGTAATGTTTGTATTGCGCCTATGCTATTTTGTAAATGGATATATGTTTGTTACTATATGTTTGCAACAACAACCATTGAGAATAGTCAATGATTATTTGATTGATCACTCATGTATAGCTCTATTTGTTTTCCCTAGAGACCACTTTGGAGAAACCAGGGTATAGTACAACAACTATTGATAATTTCCTGCCATTTCTGTCTGTAACTCACTATTACTTGTCTATTTGTTTTCCTGAGAAACTATCTTGAAGATACCAGTAGGTAAAATAACAACCATTGATAATGTCCTACCACTTTGTCTGTAATTCAGTGTATCCCCCTACTGCTTTGTTGTCCTTCTTTTACTCTTTAAAATTAAAAAAACAAAAAGAAAGAAAGAAAGATAGGCAAACGGGCAACAAGGAAAATGCAAATCAAAACCCCCTCACTCAAATTGGAATATCTATGGTTAAAAAGACAAAAGACAGTAAGTGTGGGCAAGGATATAACAAAAGGTAACTTTTACATACTGTTGGTGGGAAGGTAAGTCAGGGTAGCCATTATGGAAAATAGTATAGAGGTTTCTCAAAAAAATTAAAAACAAAACTACCATATGATCCAGAAACCCCACTATCAAATGAAATCATTATATTAAAGAGATATAGTGGGGTAACTACCTATTCTGCATTGTATAGTACAAGACAGCCGGAAGAGAAGAATTTAAATCTTACCACAAAGAAAAGAAAAATCTTTGAGGTGATGACTGTGCTTAGTACCTTGAGTTGATCATTACACAATGAAACATCACATTGTAGTCCACAAATATGTAAAATTCTTAAATGTCAAAAAAGGGGCTGTGGCTGTAGCTCAGTGGTAGAGTACAAGTTTAGCATGCATGAGTCTGATCCCAACACCACAAAATAAAAATAAAATATTAAAATAAATAAAAATAAATTTTACTTTTTTTTTGTACTGGGAATTGAACTTAGGACCTAGTGCTTGCCAGGCAGGTGCTGTGGCACTGAGCTATATCTCTGACCGTCTAATAAAATAAAATGTGAAAATTTTAAAAAGAATGAACTATTGCTATGTACAAAAATAGATGAATTTTAAATGTATTGTGCTAAATGAGTGCCTTGGTTACTTTTCTCTCATTGCAGAGACAAAACACCCAATGCACAAAATGAAGGAAGGAAAGGTTTATTTAGCTCATAGTTTGTGGAGGTTTCAGTCCATACTTGGCTGGCTCCAAGGCAGAAGACAGCAAAGCAAGGAGAGCAAAGGGGGGAATGGCAGTGCGTGCAAGCCTCTTTCCCTCCCTTACACTGTAAGCAGGCTACTCCCACCCAGCAGGCGGCACTCACATAGTTAACCTTCTAAACTTCTCACACTGACATAATGAACAACATCCTACAGCAGGAAGGGCATGTCTTTTACACCCCTGGATGTAGAACTGCTGAGTTACTTAGCCAAACCTCTAGACTCCTCAAGTTGACACTACGTATCAACCATAACAATGAGTGAGGCCAAACTTAAAGGCTACCTACTACATGTACAAATTGTATCCATCCTTCAAAACCCAAGCTTAATGTTACTTCTTCTCTGTAACCTTACCTGACTACCACTTCCCCATACATACAACACAATGAAATAATCTGACGTGTCTCTAAATTCCAAGTACTTTATCCATGTTTTTCTTACACTTATTGCCTTCTTTTGCATGACTGGGCATGCAAATATCACATTGCTCCAACTAACTGTAAGTGCCAAATCTGATTTACCTGTGCATTTAGGCACAGCAGCTGGATCAATACCTTATGTATGGAAAGTGACCAGAAACTCTCCAATGGATAATGAAAAATTAAATGGTCAGGGTGACCTGCAGTAGATAAAACTGGTGTGGTCGGCACTTAGAACAATATAACCAAGATTTTAGACTCGATGGTCTGTTAGTGATATTTCAAATGAATGAATGGATACAAAGGATAGAGATCAGTGGTAGAAAAAAGTCCATTAAAGGGCTATGATGCATAAGATAGGAGGATGCTTGAGGGAAAAATAATATTTAAGTGAGACTCTTGTTGGCCAAATCATATGCCTCCATCGCTTACATGTTGAAGTCCTAATTCCAAGTACTTCAAAAGGTAACCATGACTGGAGAGATCTTGAAAGAGGTAATTAGTGTAAAATGAGGTCTTTAGGGTGGGCCCTAATTCAATATGACTGGTGTCAATATAATAAGAGATTGGACACTGACATACACAGATGGAAGACCATATGAGGACACAGCATGAAGATGCCTTCTGCCAGCAAAGGAAATAGTTCTCACAGGAAATCAACCCTGCTGAAAGCTGGCTCTGGGACTTCTGGCCTCTAGTACTGTCAAAGCAAAAACAAAAACAAAAAACTCCTAGTGTTTAAGATATCCCTTCTGTATTTCATTATGATAATCCCAGGAGACTAATTAAACTCTGGAGATTTGAGCTGTGGAAACTGTAAGAGTGAGGGTTCTTGATGAGCACAGCACACGGAAAAGCAGACAAGGGGCACTGCCAGGGTGTAGACACAGGCACGGGGCAACACCATGGTATGGGCACTGCAGTGATTTAGCAATGAATGGGAACTGTAGGATGCAGTGCAAAACAGCCCTGGAAAAATGTTGTGGAGGTTCGGAGTGGCAGGTCATAGAGTTAAACTCCATTCTGTCGGCAAGAGTGCCTCTTCCCTGTGTGGTTGGTGGCAACTCAGTACTATTTATGACAGAAGGAAACAGGTCATGGCCCATAAGCCTGATAGCCAAGGGAGCCTGGAACCTGGTCAGCTGCTGCTGCTGCTCTTGCTGCGGTGCTAAGGCAGGGTTGGGGAACACCTGCAGTGGTTTTATGCGAGAAACTCAGGACCACTGCACGGCTATCATGAAGTTAAGAGTGTCAATCAGCAACAAAACAAACGTAACAGCCACCACCATCAGCTCTACCTCCAAGAGAGATCCAAAATCCACCTGGATCATCTTCCTGGATGCTGCCACCACTCCCAACTCACTTCTATCCTTCTGCTCACCCTTCTACTTCTGCCCAGCTAATTTTTTCACACTAATGACAATGATCCCTTTAAAACATAGGTCAGATCTATTACTCCTCTATTCAACATCCTCCAGTGGGTCCCCATGTTCCTTAGAATAAAAATCCAGCTCCTAAGTCTGGTTCACAAGCGCGCCCTGCACCCCCACCCTTGGGATCTCTTCTCTTCTTCAATCCCTGAGCCTTTCTGCACTGGGAGAGGAAAAGTCAGGCCCAAGAGCAGTCATGGGAATTCATCTGTTTATACAATCAAATGTCTAAAGACTGTTTTATTCTTTCGTTTGCTCTACAAGTGTCTTCGGGTCACCTCCTGTATCTCAGGCACTGTGGTAGCCACCAAAGCACAGGAATGGATAAAAACAAATGCCATCTCTCCCTACCTGGGGTCCATGGTCCAGTGTAGGGAACTACCAATTAGCCACTAGAATGTAAGAGCTCAGTAGTGCAAATGCAAGAGGGCAATGGCCAAACCGGCAGGAAAAAACTTCAGGGGACATCCTAGGATAGTAGGCATTAACTAGGTGAAAAGGAAAAGAAAACAGCCACAGATACAGGAAACAGCAAACCAAAAGAAAGAGACAGTACGGCAGGAGGTGGAAAAGCAAATCCGTAGGAATTCATGTTCCTGCACTGCAGAACTGATGCTAAGACTGGATCCCCGCAAAGGATCCTGATGACCACCTCTCACCTTCCCTGGATCCACTAGGTGCCCCCCACTTTCTGGCTAAGGAGATGCCCAAATCTCTCAGCAGCCCAACCCACTTCACCAAAACTGCTGCACTGTCTCTCTCCATCCTGCAGTCCTCCTTCATGTTGAGGTTCCTAGGCAGCAAAGGTAAAGCTCTTTCACTACGGAGACCTTTTCAGGAAGGAGACCCACCACAGGGCCCAGTAGGAGGTGGACACCCTGGAGGTCTTCAAGCGCCCAGGCTCAGAAACTTATTTACAATACTTGTCTCGCGCACTTATAATCATACAAAAATATAAATGCCCTATGGTCTCTCCCTCTTTCTCTTATCTCTTTCCTGCAGTGTCCCTCCTGAATCCACTGACAATAGAATCATTTTCTGCTTGCTAAATATCAAACTTAGTACATTTCTTTCCTCTCATATAAATGGCATCCCATATGATCAAAGCTACCCAGGAAACACATTTTAAATGATGTTAAAGAGCTCTGCCTTTATTATAGGCTTTTACATTTTTAAAAAATTTGGCATAATTTCATTTTCATTGTTTCTCATTCACAGTAAATCATAGCATTTCCTTTTAAGATACATTAATTGTGTAAGTAGATTTTAGGGAATTTAGTAAGTTTCGGTAGTTGACTATGGCAACAGTTCGTAAAAAGAGAAATTAAGTGACTAAAATCTGGGAAACAATGGTCCCAGTGAAAGGAATAAAGGACTAGCAGGAGGGTACAGAAAAGAGGAGAACATAGGAGAGGCAGAAGCTGTGGAACTGTGTAGGAGGAGGGGAGAAGTGACTGAATACGGGCATGGGCTCACTGAGCGGCCTCATGGAAGATGCTAACATCTCCTACAAACTTCTCAGGGCAGCTGGGTTCACCTGTCTTCCTGACCTCCCATCCAAGCAGCCCTTCCTATAACTCTCCAATGTACACCCCCACGGCAGCTGCATGGCCATGACCACAAGCAGTGACAGGATTCATCGAGCACTTACTGTTCCTTCTCCACTAGCACGTAGCTTCCCAGGCTGGCACATACTTCTCTCATTCACCCTGGTCCCCCCAGGGCTTGGCACACTGCTTGGCGCGACGAGACACTGGGTATCTGCTGGGGGTATGGATGTTATGGTTTGGATATGATCTGAATCTGTCCCCCGAAGGTTCACGTGCTAGTAGACTAGCACAGTCCCCAGTGTGATGGTGTTGAGGTGGTAGAGCCTTTAAGGGCCGGGCCTAGTGGGCAGGGGCTCAGCGGTGGGGAGGCCACCCTGGGAAGTGACAAATGCAGCTCTCCTGGGACTCTAGTTAGTTCTTCAGGAAGACGGTGTTATAAAAAGAGGAAAGGGGCCCGACTTTCTCTGGCTTCGCATCTCGCCACGTGCTCTCCCTCTCCTGTATACTCCCACCACGATGCCATCTGCCAAGCTGTGACACGGCCAAGGAGGCCCCCACCAGCGGCAGAACACAGAACATCTTGGATTTTCAGACTCCAGAACTGGGAGCTAAATAAATCTCCCTTTTGAAAATAAAGTACTTAGTATGAGGCATTCTGTGATAGCAACAGAAAATGGACTAAGATGCTGGACAAAGGGCTATCTGAACCTTAGACAACAGCGGTTAAGTATAGAGATAAAGAACACCAGGCCAAAAGACCAAAGGAACACAACGACACGAGGAGTTCCCCTGGGCCCACAGACGGAGACACCTCACAAAGCCTGAAAACCAGGCCATGGGCTTGGAAGAGGTTAGCATCCAACAGTAAAACAGCTTTGCTTCAAGCCTCCTACGTTGAGTTTTCTCAACAAATTCCTTGCTTCCCGGACTAAAACCTAAGGTAAAAACCTTTAAAGAATTTTTAAACACTGCCTCCTAAATGCTTCCTCTTCTTAAAACTTGTATTTGCCTACCCAGCCCTGAGCTTCCACACCTGGCACCCTGCTCCCAAGAATCTTCTTTCTTTCAGGCCGGGAAAGGTGCATGTTTCCTGATTTACATTATGAAAACATACAAAGACACACTTGTAAAAAATGTAAACACAGAAGCACATTTAACAAGATGAGAAGGTTACCTTGCTCTCATTCTACTTGTTTTCCAGAGGGGATGAAGTACACAGCTTGACATCACACTTCCAGTACTTTTTAAAAATGGATTTTTATGTATCTACAAATAAAAATATGCTTGTGTATTTTAGATTTGTCAACATAAGTAACAAGTTCGAACATAAATGTGATTGTACTATATTTTCTTATTTAAAAATACACACAGTAGTTTCTAAGACATATCAAAGGTATTCATATTTTATATTTTGATAGATTTTATAAATTTCTCATAAAAATTTATTAATTTTTGTTTCTATTAATTGTTATTATCAGTGCTCATCACCATATGTTCTCTTTCCACTGGATACTGTTTATGTCTCCAATGTCTTGCCAATCTGTTGCATGGGAAATGATATGTCATTAGCACTTGAACTTGTGTTTCCACACTTACTACTGTGCTTGAATTACACTCTATTTCACCTTCTGGGAACTGCTCCTTATAACCTTTGTCCCTTTCTGTTTATCTTTTTCTAATTGGTCTATGGAATTGTTCACTTCTTGTGGATAGCGATCTTTGAGAAATGTTTGTTGTTTGTATTTCTGTGTCTACCACCTTCCTGTATTTACAGTGTACCAAGTTTTTAACGTACATAAAATCAAATGTGTCATTGTTTCCCTTTATGGCTTAAAGTAATCTTCCCTGCATACCAAGATCACACAGAAGATTTTCTTAAATCATGCAGGGATAGAATGATACATTTAACTCACTATATGTTATGTACATAAAATACATATGTTATGTATTTGTACTTTAAGTACTCTATACACATCTACATACTTTACTTTTCTAATTGTGCATGTATTAATTTAGCTTTTATTTTGTCACCCTGAAAACATCCTGGAATAGATACCATTACTATTCCCATTTTACAGATAGTAAGACTAAGGGACAGAGAAGTTCATTAAGGCTGAACAATCTGTGTTCAGGTCTTACCCAATACATTATTCTGATTCACTATTACTCCACAAAACTCATTCTGCCTATAGCTTATAAAGGCAATACAAATTATCACAATGTGATGTCTTAATAGCACAGAAGTATATAGCTTCTATGAATAAAACAGGTAACCAAGAATGTCATCTAACACAGAAAAGTAGAATATATAGAAAGATGAAATTATAAAATATCAGGAAACAGAAGAATTGCTCATAAATGATGTTGGAAAAGCAATTTAGTATTATTTTTGCAAAGTCAGTTTAAATCTACTTTTTATATCATCCACCAAAGTAAATACTAAAAGGAAATAAATCCCTTAAAAGAGGAGAACTTAGATCTCTAACCTAAGAAGCATCAGATAAAGGAGGATAGCTCTGACTGTGGGAAAATGTTAAGTGGGTGCATGTTCTCTTAAAAATTCATTTTATTTACTTACTCAGGGGTACTGGGGATTGAATCCTGAGCCTTGCACATACTAGGTAAGCACTCCACCACTGAGCTACATTCCCAATCCTAAAAACTCATTTTTAAAAGGTAAACAATAGACTAGGGGGCTGGGGATTTAGCTCAGCGGCAAAGCGTCTGCCTGGCAAGCGCAAGGTCGTGAGCTCGGTTCCTGGTACCGGAGAAAAACCAAAAAAATAGACTAGGGAAAATAACTGACACAAAAAAATGGCAACTATATCTTATTAAAAAGCCATACCGAGCTGGGCGTGGTGGCGCACACCTGTAATCCCAGAACTCGGGAGGATGAGGCAGGAGGATCGTTGTGAATTCGAGGCCAGCCTGGGCTACAAAGTGAGCTCAAGGCCAGCCTGAACTGCCTAGTGAGACCCTGTTTCAAAGACAAAAAAAAAAACATACCAACTAGCAAAAAAGGGTTAAAGTCCTAAAGAAACGATCAAGACAGAAAGCGTAACTTACAAGCAAGTGCATGAGGAAATGTTCAGCCTAATTACATAGAAAAAGTGCAAAGTTACAAAAAATAATTTTACCTACTCCTTTTTTCCCCACGGTCCTGTTCACTGGGGAAGTAGGTGAAATTAAACTGATACTGTCTCACACAATGTGAATAGAAAGTAACTCAGCAGCACATACCAAGCAGCACTAAAAAGTTCATGCCCAAGTTCAGAGTGGCTCAGTGGTACAGGCCCTGTTTAGCAGGCACAAAGCCCTGGGTTCAATCCGCAGTGCTTGAGCACGCGCGCAAACACACTCACACTTACACATACTCACACACACACACATACTCTTTCATCCAGTAATGCCACAGATATAACCCTAAAACATACTTTTATGGCCAAAGATAGTTACTAAAGTATTATTTATAATAGCAAGAAACAAAAAAAGAAAAAGTAAACTTTATTTTTAAAAACAAAGAATATTTACTTTATGGGTCGATCACTTAATAGAGCATTATACATTATTTAAAATAATTGTAAAACTATATAATAGTATTTTTAAAATTCTTATGCTAGAAGATTTAGCTGTATTAAGTTGAAAGAAATAAAGGAACTTTGATAGCTGTTTTAGGGCATGGGTTTGAGTCACTGTTTTGTATAATTTCCAAATTGGCCAAAATGTTACATCAACAGGAGCTCTGCACTGAGGGTAACCAGAGTTCCCACCCTGACTGTACCACTCTTTGTCTATCCCACCCTCTGTTTGACCTTTGCCAAGTTAAACAACCTCTCCATCCCTCTGTTTCCTTACCTGTGAGATGAATTCCACAAGGTAGCTACCCCGTGGGGCTACTACAAGAATCAAGTAAAATAATACTTCTAGAAAGCTTGACCATTGTACCCCATGTGCACTCAAAAACATTATTTTTAATTATTTTTAAATGTTAACATATTTGAAAAATAAAATTGAGATGAATTAAAAAAATTTTTTAAAAGGATACTTTAAATGAAAGTTTAGTATGGTTTATTTTGTACTCCTCCTCTACCTTTGGGGGTTTCTCTGTTTAGATAGTACTTGACATGGTAGCTCACTTGCCAAAGGGAAAGCTAAAGGAACTGCAACAGGGCTAGCCACAAAAGGACAGTGTAAGAACACAGTCTACTGAACAGAGTTTTAAGGACACAAAAAGAGCGGCATTAACAAGTACTACAGCAAAAACAGCACTGTTTATCTTTACCCCTGCTTTTTATTTAGAAGTTGGTAAGAGGGTGTCACATTTTCCAAGTAAACTTAAAGTATGGGCTTACTGTTTTACTGAGCTGGGTACATTATTCTAATAATCAAAACCAAAAAACTTAATTTCTGGAAAATATAATAGTTAGGAAAAGATGTCAAAGTACCTTGAGCCTTTTGAGAGAATGTGGCAAGTACTGTCTAAACAGAAACCACATAACAGATAACTTCTGGGAAAAGCTCCTGTCACCAGACCATTGTGCTTTGAAATTCTGCCATGTGGGGCTTCTTCTTCTTCTTCTTTTGAGACAGGGTTTCATTATGAATGTGGGACTTCCTAAGCATTAAATTTCAGACCTGGGCAAAATGTATTGCCCAAATGTCGAACACTGGGACATTACTAGCTCCTCTGCCAGATGAGAGGACACACTTTACATGCCACTCTCCACACGACTGAGTAATCAGTATCTGCAAAGAGAGAACTTCTTTTCCAAAGACCTTAATAAATTAACTTATAGTCAGTATGAATCATCCTCACTTTGCAAGATGAAAAGAGCAGTGAGGGAAGACTTTTCTTAAAGGTATCAGAAGATGAGTTTCACATTCGCTCTCAGCCCCCATGGCACGCAAGTATTATTAACTTATCAGTCCCTCCACTAGAAAAAAATACATTAATGCTGCCTTAGTGACATCAGAGTCCACAAGGTAAGTTAGACACTGTGCAACTTACCCCTGCCCCCAGATAGAGCTGTCTTCTAAGATTTTCCACCCCTGCCTTAAATAATAATCAACTACGTACTTACTGCAAAGCTCTTTGCTTTTCGTGCTTCTTGGGAGCTGCTGACCTCAATCAGCAAGTCAGCCGCACTATTCTGGGCCG